CTTGCCTCCAAGGAGCCACCCGGTTTAACCCTCTCCAGGACAAATCTGTTTGTTTTCCTAGCAGTCCATGGTACTCTCAATACTCTTCTCCAGGGTCTTCCAAATAATAGTTTTCAGAGACTCCATAACTGGCATCCTGGGCACCTTTTCCTATTCCTGGTTGAATGTGTCGCTAATCATCCACCACTTAAATATTTTTAATGCTATCCTGTGTCTCTCGTTCTGCTTTTAGTGGTGCAAAGGATTGAAAATAAAACACACATACACATCGAGACCCACAAAAAATTAAAAATAAAAGCCAAGGATGAGTCCTATCTCACCACAAGAATTTGTAGACCACTGGGTGCGCTAGTGAGGCAGCTCCATGCTGGATAACGGATTCTTTCTTTGTTATGCTGGGCAATAAGTATCTTTCGGACAAGACTCACATCTTTCTCTTTGTGGTCACATAGTATATTATTATGCAGCACTGAATAAAGGTGTTGAATGTTAATAGATTAAGAAATAATGTTTTATCAGTATCTACTAATGTTACTAGATAAGCAAATTCATTTGCATTGACATATAGCACACAGGCATCACCCTGGAATTACAGGAGTCCATGGAAAAGTCAGTTTGATTGGCCGTTATGTAATCCCTGTTATGCCTAGAGATTGAAGGCTAACTTCACTCCTGAGTTGGTTAACATACATGTTTGTCTCTGTATCCTTGATCAAGTCAGCAACACCTGAAATCGAACAGCACTGCCTTTTTCATAATGATTTTCCTTGTTAGAGAATTCCACTGACCTGATTTGAAGCCAAGTGAGCATGGTGGTAGTTCCTCCTCCAAATACCCAGACAGTGAAGAATACGATGAGCAGCGTGGTGGTGAACATCATTTGTTTGGGTTGAGATTCTGTGTTACGAATAGCTAAGGCAAAGGCTATTGCTCCTCGCAAACCTATCAGAGAAAGATCAAAGAGGATATATCAGCAGATCGAATTTTTATATTTCTTATTTAACTGCCCCACAAATTGCTGTCTGTCAGATACTCCTCTAAATCTGAACATTCAGATTAAGACAGACTAGGAAGAAGGATTGGCCACCCAC